AGAGGCTCAACATGAGGGAAATGCAAATCAAAACCACAAGGAAATACTACTTTGCATCTAGTAGGATAGTTACATTTAAAAATAAATACATAAAACAGACAGGAACAAGTGTTGATGAGGATATGGAGAAATTTGGACCTTCACACATTTCTGGCACCTTCATAAAAAGATGCCAGCATTTTGGAAAAAGTTAATCATAGAGATACCATATGATCCAGCAATTTCACCCCTAGGTATATACCCAAGAGAACTGAAAACATATGTCCATATGTGGGTGGTAGAGGGAAAGACCAAGGTGCACGTGGGTGCACAGGGGAGAATATGGAGATACATCCTTCTCTTCAGACTCATCCCACATCACAAGTCCCAAGATGCTGATGAAGGACAAGCAAGACAATCTGAACAGAGGTAGAGACCACTTGAGAAAAGATCCCTGGTGTATTTATGTTTGGGGAAATGCCTTCATAGGCCAAAGATCGTCACCCTGAGGTTCTGAGGAGAACCCTTACCACCAAGGTCCCTTTAGGACCAGAAACGTTATCCAGCAAGCTGAGCAATATGTCCCTTCACCAAACAAATAAGATAAAGATACACATGCAAGTACACTTTGTGTAGATAAATCCAAAATACATATCCACATTTATTAAGCATACCGTGCTCTTACAATTGTATTTATAATACAAGAACTGATTTAAAACCCAGAGTACTTTCCACCAACACTCCATATTACCCTTATCCACATAAACAATTTGTAACAGATGTGTACAATCTAGAATATTTCTTTCAATTATAATTTTTACTAAAAGGTGAAAGATTTATACAATCTGAAGAGAAACCAGAGTATCAATTATAATTTTTAAAAATCAACATTAGGACACACCCAACAGGAATCTGGGGTGATTGTGATGAGGGGCACACAAAATGTGTGGCTTCCCTATGAACAAATTCCCTACATGTGAAGAAGAAAATTATAAAATGTATGTGGTGGGTGTATTGGTGATCACTATATAATTTTTTCAACTGTACTGTATATTTGAAAAATTGCCTAATAAAATTTTCAGAAAATTTAAAAAAGAATCAACATTAGGGTCTACTTTTTGCTTTAGTTATCTCTCTCTAATTTCATTCAATTTCAAGTTCTACCTGCTTTTTTTTTTTAGACAGGGTCTCACCCTGTTGCCAAGCTAAAGTTCAATGGCATCATCATAGCTTATTGCAACCTCAAACTCTTGGGCTCAAGTGATCCTCCTGCCTTAGCCTCCCAAATAGCAGAGAATATAGAAGTGACAACCACCTGGCTAATTTTTCTATTTTTTGTAGAGACTCACTGTTGTCCAGGATAGTTTCCAAGTCCTGGCCTCAAACAATCTTCCTGCCTTGGCCTCCCAAAGTGTTAGGATCATAGGCCTGAGCCACCACACCTCCAGGTTCCACTTGTATTTTTCTAACAGTTGCATTTTAGTGTGTCTTTATCTAATCAATATTAATATTACATTAACAGGAAGGTCAACAAGAAGTGACCTTCATAGTGCTAAGCTGTTGTTTTCAACAAAAGAGGCTCAGATTGCCAAGAAGGGCTTTCTATGAGGAAAATAAATCATTTCCATAACAATTATGTTGGAAACCACTAGCAGAATTTAGACAAAACTACTCTAATGGGGTAAAAAGATCAAATTGGATTATAAGGCAGCAAAAGTTCAAATAACTATCACAGAAATGCTACCAAAAATGAAACCTATTCCTTTCTAATTCTGATTTAATTCTAGAAGCCACCAAAAAGTAAAAAAGGACTAACTGATTCAACTTCATAAATACTAGTAGGTTTCTTCAAGGAAAAAACATAAACCAAAAGATTAATAACAAAATGTGACAAGAAGCTTGGGGCCTGTTGCTCAAGCGGCTAAGGTGCCAGCCACATACACCTGAGCTGGCAGGTCGAAATCCAGCCTGGGCCTGCCAAACAATGATGGCTGCAACCAAAAAATAGCCGGGTGGGTGTTGTGACAGGCACCTGTAGTACCAGCTACTTGGGAGGCAGAGGCAGGAGAATTGCTTGAGCCCAGGAGTTGGAGGTTACTGTGAGCTGTGACACCACAGTACTCTACCCAGGATGACAGCCTGAGGCTCTATCTCAACAACAACAAAAAAAAGGGACAACAGATCTGCGATATATATCACAAAGGTCTGATCTTTCTAATACTTAACATATACAGAGCTCCTACAAATCAGTAAGAAAAAGTGCAACAACCTAATAGAAAACGGGCAAAGATATACCAGTTCAAAGTAAAGGCACATGTAAAAAAATATGCCACCTTACTCCAATAGAAATATAAGTTCACACTATACCTAGATGTTATTTTTTTCACCTATTCAACTTACAAAACCCAAAAGTTTGATAACATTTTTGTGAAAAACGAGGACTCCTGTACATGGCTGATAAGCATGTAAGTTACTATAACCTCTAAGGAAGGCAATTAGGTAATACTTACAGAAATTAGAAATACATATAGCTTTCAATAATAGCAACTGCACATATGAGGTCTGACAATTAAGTTCACAAACTTGCCACCATGCACTTACATTGGCAGAACTCTACAAACCACTTGGTAAGGTTTCATAACTGTGGCATACAGTGTCTCACAGCTGTGTTTGTGTTGACATGTGGTAGTGTCTTCTGTTCATTATTGTTATTGCATGTTTTCATGTGCCCTCATGAGAATGTTGGAGCTTGAACTAGAGCAATGAACAAACACTTGTAAATTTTTTGTTAAACTTGGCAAGAATAGAAGTGAAATCAGGGACATATAATCCAAGTTTATGAGGATAATGCCATTAAGAAAATGGCAGCGTACAAATGGATTAAATGTTGTTTTTTTTGTTTGTTTTTTTTTTTTACGGGGACAGAGAGGGCCACTGATGAAGAGAGGCTGGGTGGCCAATAATGAGCATAACATGGCAGGTTCAGGGTATGTCTGCCTATTTCAAGTGGAGCTCAGACTGCTAGGGAGAGATGGAAGAGGAGTAGATGTGGACCGGAGAGGCACAGAAGGGACTGAGATTAAGGCTGGCAGTCTTACTGTCACCATGAAGGCTGTGGGGTGCCAGCCAGGCTGCCCTCACTGTACAGAGTGAGTCACTTCCTAAGAACACACATGCGACTCGACTGGACATGCTCCTGAACAGTCTCTCTCTCTCTAAGATGCCAGCAACACTGGTATTTATAAAGTAAGGAGTGTGGCCCAGAAAAAACTGCATGAGCTTTAGAAGCAGACACACCTGAATCAAATGACAGCTTTGCTACTTCATTCATTCAGCCATGCATTCATTCAAAAACTTATCTAGAGTGCTTACTGTTCCAGGCATAATGAGGGTGACAATACTATAGATTTTCCATGTCAACTTGGATAATTTAGTAACTTTTCTCGGCCTCAATTTCTCATTTATAAAATAGAATGACATTATACTTACTCTGCAGGTTCTCATGAAGATTGAAATAAGGATACAGTTTCTGGCATATATCAATTTTTTTCATATTGTGGAAATGAATTACGTAATTTCCTATTTTGCACTGTTACATGAGGTTTTTTAAAATAAAAGTGAAGCCTACTTATTTATAACCTAGGATAATATTATTCTTATCAAAGTTCCTTGAGTAAATATCTCTCTCCCACTAAAAGATTAAACTTCTATTCACTCAAACTCATTAAATGGAGGCTTCAGAAACCTTAAGCTTTTGAAACACAAGTCATGAATGCTACAGCTACACCATGACATGGCTATCCCTGCTCCACAGAAGAGCACTGCATTGCACAGCCTGGACATGCTCTTCGTCCTGTGACCTGAGTTCTTTGCCTCTCAGGACTGGATGGGGCTTCAGTGGGGTGTCTTGACTTACAGGGGTGTGAAAGGAGTGTGGATGAAGAAGCAGCAGCACTTCTATGTTTATTCTTGGGAGGGAGGGGGATAGGCCTTAGCATGGTACCTGGCACCTAGCACCAAAAGAGAAAGCTCTCCATGAGGACCCTGTGAGAAGTGGCATAGCTGTCCTCAGAGGGTGGCATGAACTACTAGCCCAGCCATCTTGCCCTGAGAGGTTGCAGAGGCACAGAGAACAATACTACGGTGCTGGCCCTAGCAGGGCTAGATACTCTCCAAGGACCCCAAGTTAACCTTAGAAAGGAGGGCGTAGGGACAGGGAAGCCTGTCTCTCCCTTCCTCTCATGCAGCCATCTCACTGCCCTGGGAGGACTACAGGCTCTAAGACAGTGGTTCTCAACCTGTGGGTTGTGACCCCTTTGGACTGTATTAAAGGGTTGTGGCATTAGGAAGGTTGAGAACCACTGCTCTTTCTGCCATGATTAAAGGTCCTGGAGAATTAAATCATAAGCATTTCATTTCTGTGATATACAACTCATCAGCACACACAGGGAGGTGGTACCCACTGTGTCACTTTGTCTAAGATGAGTTTACTGGACCCTGGGCTGGCAAAGCCAGGAAACTTACATGACAGATGCATCCTAGCTATCACTGACAGTTTAGTTGCCAGGACTTTTCTTAGGGAGCTGAAGGTAGATTTAATCTTTAGGAAAAATGCAGACTTCACTAAGGTAATGGCTGAGTATTCCCTTGACTATCGATGCCTCCCATCTATAATGGGAGTCCCAAGAGTGTCTATGAGTTTGCTGAGTAAAAGAGGCCAGTATCTCAAATCCATGGGCTTCTCTCTTCTGAGCCATATACACATCTTGGTGTTGAGTGCTGCTCAGAGTGACAACAGGGCTCACTATCTCCTAAGGGAGATTTCCACAGATCAGCTGGGAGGACCTCACAGAGTGGATAGAAACGAGGATGGTACACACAGCACACTCCTGGGGCAGAAGAAGGAACACACCTCACATCCTACAGTTAATCCAAACCCTCCCTCAATGATGCTGAGTCCGTCTTGCAACAGCTCAGTCCAGCTTGGGTGAAGCCATGCCCATCTCCCCCAAGGCAGTTACCTGCTTCCCCTTCACCACGTGCTTGGGCACTGGCACCCTGACCTCCAGGTCAGTGTAGTCCTGTGACCAGGTATAGTTCTCACGAACAGCACCATTGTAACTGTCAGGGTTTTTCTGGAACTGCTCCTGAATCCTGAGAAAGAATAAGAAAGAGTAAGATGCCAGCCGGGCAGACATGACCAAAGGAACCCACCCGCCTGGCATATGCCACTCCTATATCCTGAAAGAGTGACCAGCTTGAGTTTCAGCTCAAGCTCACCTGCTTTTGCATTTGTAAACTTCCTCTTTGGGGGGTGATTTCCTTTCTGACCCTCCTACACAGTCTTCCCAGAAAATCACTGGACAAGGTAAAAGCTATAGAGAAGAAACCCAAGTACAATATACTTGAGTTTAAGAAAAGTATCTGTGGCTCAGCGCCTGTAGCTCAAGCGGCTAAGGCACCAGCCACATACACCTAAGGTGGCGGGTTTGAATCCAGCCAGGGCCCGCCAAACAACAATGACGGCTGCAACCAAAAAATAGCCAGGCATTGTGGTCGGCGCCTATGGTCCCAGCTACTTGGGAGGCTGAGGCAGGAGACTCGCTTAAGCCCAGGAGTTGGAGGTTGCTGTGAGCTGCAATGCCAAGGCACTCTAGCCAGGGGGCCAGCTTAAGGCTCTGGCTCAAAAAAAAAAAAAAAAAAAAAAGGAAAGAAAGAAAGAAAGAAAGAAAAGAAAAGTGTCTGTGACCACAATCAAAGCATATGCTTGTCTGCTAGCCTTTGCAATTACTCAGAACTAGGTCTGTTAATTAACCATAGGGACCATCTGAATAAAAAAGCCTTGGCCTCATGGGTGCTTGGTTCTTATAAACTGCTTGTCAGAGCCTATCTTTAAAAACAAAAACAAAAAAAGGTAAAACAATTTCATCCTGCAGCTGCTAAACTTTAATCCTAATTCAACCCCCAGCCTCTAGTTTCTCCTAGTAAATAAAGCAAAGCCAAAGGGACTAGATTAAAATTGTATGTATCACTAATAAGAGGTAAACAATACATGTAACAAAACAGCCTAAAAAATACCTGTCAATTAAATCCTATTGTAGACACCTCTTACAAACACAGCACAGATGCAAATAGGCCTAACCAAGAAGTTGATGTTAAAAAATACAGTATTTCGGCTCGGCGCCTATAGCTCAACCGGCTAGGGCGCCAGCCACGTATACCTAAGGTGGCGGGTTCGAATCC